GGTCATTCCATCAATTACAATATAGAGGTTCCGTGTTCGGACATCCTTACAGATTATGGCGGAACACATGCCTCACTCCCTTTAGGGCATTTTCTCACTTTTCACTTTTTTTCACATAGGTAATTGCCGTTCCACTAACACCACGTGGGAAATTCCAAAACTGGCCTTCTGGCCATTCCTGTTTGCCTCAGTTGCAGCCCTTTTGACTTCTTCATGCTTCATCCCAACATATTTTACTCACTTCACTATAACATTTAATCATCCTTTGTAGACTTGGCTGGAAGCCTACTTTTATCTGTGATGATGGGGATTCTTTTCCTACCTTTAAGATTATGAGTCGTATTCCTTAGTCCATGAGACTCTCAGAAATGAAGAAACATACAATCACTTATTTTTGCACAAAAATCTGACCCAGAGTCAATTGCATTTCACTTCCCTTCACATTTAGACAGGAAAGACCAATGTTGAAAGACACATGATTTGGAAATTGAAACATCTCCATGAGCTTCAGTGATCTCTGATGTAGAGGCCCAAAAGTGTTTTCTGGCCCTCTAACTTGTTCAACACTATAACTACCACTACTTAGAGAAACTTGGGTATCTCCTTCTTTAATCTCTTTCATTCCCCAAAAGAATTCCTTCCGAAAGATTATTATATAGATTTATTGTTATATCTTCATGAAAATGCACAATGAAATTTTTTACTCTAACCTTCACAGCACAGTCTTCACAAAAGCCAACAATTGGGAACTAATCTACATTGGACCCAAGACAGTTGTAGCAGGATTGAAACAAGTCATAGGAAAGGTGGTATCATAAAGCCTGAGACATCTTCAAAAATGCCTCCATGTCTCCATGTTGGAAGCTCCAAAGTCAGAAAAAATTGAATCCTATTCATTCCTCTCACTCACTTCCTCGTTCGATTCAACTTGTTCTTAAATACTTCTTAAATAGAGAAAGTAAGTGTCAAATGATTGCATTTTAAGGATGGTCAATTTTCAAATTTCATGAAGAGGTTCATATCCAGCAACAAAAAAAAACAAATAATAGAAATGAGGAAGCAGAAAGTTGATGGAATTAGAAAATCTCAGATTACAACCACCTATGGCCTTGACGCTTTGGTTCCATAGTTTGATAGGAACTCCAAAAGTTCTTGGCAAATCCTGTTAAATATAACCTGATCCTTTTATTTTTCGTGTTGTTTTTAAGGAATTCTTGAGTTTTAGGGACTTTTAGACATTTTTTGCCCAAAACGATGAAGCACAGCATGAGGACAAAAGTGATCTCCTTCTGGGCAGATTACCTTCACCCTTAGAGTTCTGCAGGTGCTGGTTTGGTATGTTTTCCAAGAGCACTCGCCTACAAAAGATTGTATATTATAGTCGTTAAATCATAACTTCCCAATCCTACTTGTTATGAATTTTGTGCATCACTTGTTTTTAAAGTTCAGGTGTGGACTTGTAGCCAAGAGAACTAGCCCCATGTAGGTTGTCCAATTTTAGAAGTGAAAAAGGAAATATGATTGAAGTAAAACCCATGTTTACAGAATAATGAAAAATTGACAGATGCTGTCGTGGAGGTGAAACTTCAGATTGGAAAGCCTACGTTTAACATAAAAATTATGCAGCAAAATCTTGGTGTGGAGAAATACTTAGCTCTTTAGGTACCTCATTTCCAAGCTGAGAATGAAATTTATCTAGTCAGTTTCTGGGAAGAAATGATGAAAAAACTAATGAAGGGACATTAAAATTGGCGTAGTAGTGGCAACATGCCCCCTAAGATTATTTCATGACTTCAAAACACCATTTCACTGGTTTTAGAGGCCTTTCTAAATCATTCCAATTGGTAATCTCAGATCTTAATTTTTAATTAGGTCCTTAACCTTGCAGGATCACCTCTTCTGGCTGTATATTTCATTTTGTGTTATTGACAAAAGGTTTTCAAAGAATTACTGAATTAAATTAAATCCCTGAAAAACTATGAAAAAAACTGCATTGAGAACAGGCAATATTTAACATCATTTGGCATGAACTTATGAAGTGCCCGAGAATCTTTTATCTTATGTGATTTCATCAGCACTAAGAAAGTAGATTCTTTTAACCGCATTGCAAAATGAGAAGAAATCACTCTAGATCAGTGGTTCCCTAACTGTGGGTCATGACCCACTAGTGGTTCGCAAGAGGCATCGTTGTGGGTCGCATACATTTTCCCAGTATAAAAAATCACTCTGCATTTTCTGAGGATTGAACATGCCCTGCAGGAAAGGGTGATCTGTTTTCTTCATATCATAATTACTTTCAAAATACCTCGTTCTGGATTATGGTGGGTTGCAAATTTCTTGCGCATCTGCAAGTGGGTCGCAATCTAAAGAAGTCTGGAAACCGCCGCTCTAGACAACCAAAAGGGTGACTCCAAAAAAGATATTTCGAGTAGGGACCAAATGTTTCACTTCCTGAGAACACAATATCAAAAATCCACAAACATCTATGAGTCAGCAATAATAACCCCACATTTTCCATTCTGATGTCAAATGCCTGTCCAATTTTTCTCACCAGGTGCAACATAGAAGACTCTAAAGGTTATATTGTTCGCAAAAATACATTAAATAAAGAGTAGGATTGAAATCCTTCATTAGTAACATGATCTTTTTACAAAATTGCTGCTAATTCCTTTTTCCCATTTCTTAGCTAAATATTCACTTCACCCCAATGTTTCCTTTTTGCTAATCTTTTTTAAAAAAAACCATAGCTTCAATGTAGCTCAACATAGTACATTCCTATTAGGTGAAACAAGAATAATTGTTGTCTAGGATGAAAGGGCTGGAAGCAACAATTCCATTTCTGTTGTTTCCTCTCCCCAAGGGCAGAAAATTATAAACGTAATGCACAGGGTGTCCCACACACCTTCCCCAAAGTTTTGTACATAATTATGTCATTATCTTTTCTCATGGATATAAGTTTTGTATCATATAAAAGCCTAGATCTTTCTAATGACTGCTGATTAACGTGATGGTTTCTTATTTTTTGTTGTGAGGATTTATTAACAAGATGTATGCTTCAAAAACCATCATATACCTGACCTCATCAGTGCCATTTCCATCTAACTGAATATCATTAGCTTGGACACGAGCCAGAAATGACTTCTCCAGTGATGCCGTGTGTGCCATGAACAGAATTCGAACCAATTTCAATGGCAAAAAGATTGAATGCCTTTTTTTTAAGCCCTGCATTCCAAAAACCCTGCCCAAATTTGGACAGTCATTAAATGAATGGAGCTCTTTAATTAAAGGTCAAGGGTGTTAGGGGTTTGGTAGAATACACTTTTTCTTTTAAGACACCTCACAACTAATCATCTCTCATATGAGACCCCTTTATGAAGGTAATTCTTCATGAGTATGACCTTAATTATAATTCAGGGGTCTGAGATAGGCAGAAATAGGCCCACATTCCAAAATGGAACATCAAAGTAGGAGGAAATAAAAGGAGAACAGGCATGGGTTCAGTGGTAAATACGAATCTATTCCCCTTCTCAGGAGCCCCGAAACATCGGGCATCACAACAGAGACTTCCATATTCTCACAATACATTCAATCACACTGAATGGATTCTCTCTTTGAGGTAAAAATGAAAAATAAACAAGAAAATAATGCTCACACTGTACACATTTCGAGTACGCCTATAGTCGTTCGATTTCGAAAAGTTCATCACAGGTTGTCGGGATTCCTAAATCCACCCGACTGAACTGTCACTCGGAATCACAGATCGGGACAGACGTCACATCGAACCCAGTTTTCGCATGCAAAATCAAGCATCGATGGAAGACAGGATATCTACCTTGGCCATCACCTGACTGAAAAAAACTCTTTCCAGATTTGTTCCACTGCAGCGATTGGATCTCATGGGTCAGACTTCTAACCAAGTGCTTCCTCGATTAAGATCATTATCAAACTCATTAGACAAAGCAAATGGGCAAATATTTGAGAAAAAGATTCATTTAAATTGCACCTCATATGAAAGAAATTGTTGAATTAAAACTCTAATGGAATCTGAATTATAATGGATCTTTGATGAATCCAAAAAAAATTTCAACTTACTCTATAATAATAACAAATTCACTAATTGATCTGGGTGATCAAAGTCTCTCAAAAGTTATCAACAAAATTGAACTATACTATCCATGGCAGACTGAAAAAATTCATCTATAATAACTTACTGGATTTAAAAAAAAATTCTATCTAAATGAAAGCTTACACGAGCAATAAATTTCCAATGCTGTGCAAGTACCTATAATGCACTCACATACATCCAGATTCCATTGGATTTATTAATAGAAAAACACCTGCAATATCATTCTGACTACCTAGGAAGAAATTTCTTGAATTTGAATTAGAAAGTGGAAGTTCCTCTGCATGAGGACATGACCAACCCAACCACAGCAGTGGAAGGCACCAACTCAAGATTGCAAATTAATTCAAACACTCAAGATCTACTCTGACACCACTGCGCTAAGATGCCCAGTCCCACACCGGGTTGTGGCACGGGTCGGAGGACCCTAGACGGACCGCGAGATAACATGCTGGGTTCGCTTCCCTGGTCGTCATACACTGACCATCTGGACACCAAGCAGTTTCCTCAGGGAGTCACCGTATCGCACAACAGTCACCACACCGGTGACCACTGGAGTCCTCATCCCCAACTGGATGCACCATGTCCGCCGCAAGAACTCCCCGTGTGGGACCTCTCTTTTTTCCCAGTCTGGATGGCGAGCCAATAATGACTTGGGATCCTGACCCAGCCGTGATGATACGTCAGAAAGTAGGACGAAGGGATCTGGACATGCATCCTCCAGGATTTGGTAGGTGTTGATCATAGGGACCTCACTGGTCTCAAAGAAAATAGAAGACTGGTCATCCTCGTCTGGAGAGTCAGGAGGGAGGTCTGCAGCATCAAAAACATCGAATCCCGTCTCCGAGTCTGATCCTAAAAGCACATGGACACAAAAATGCTGTTAGTGGCATCCAATGTACACAATAGATCATGATCAAAGGAAGAAATTATTTGAAAGCATCAAGCCACGGCTATATTATGACATTAAAACCAGGAGGACAATGAAGCATCAAGTCAATCTGTCAAAGCATTCGAATAAAATATTTCATATAAACACTTTTTTGAAGGCAATACATAATAAAATAGTGTTGTCAGGCATACCAACAAATAGATTCTCATCTGCACAAAACGATTCTCACATGTGACCAGAGTGATATGGAAAGGAATTTAAATACATACATAAATGTATACAAAAGGGGAAAGTGAAATCAGTTCCTCCATTCTCATAATTTCAATTGATTACTATGGGAATGACAAATTTCATGTACATAATAAACAATACCATGAGTTACAATCACATTCTCATATCTTCGCCATCGACAAACAAGGTGACAAAAAATTGACTTAAAGTAATCAAGGAAATTAAAAATTTACTTCATGTCAAGGTGGGTAGTCAGGTCATAATTGAGCGTTCAATGGAAAGAATCATTGCTACTGATATATAATCAGGAATACACATAGACAAGCCGTGGTGAGAAACTGGAGGGTAGAATCTTTTTCTAACTTGATTGCTTTGCTATTCATAGCCTTTTGTAACAGTACTAATCCAAACACTGACAGGAATCCATTGGCAATCCCAACAAGCCTGTAAAACAGGAATCTGTTAGCCAATTTACAAAAGCCAGACCTTTGTTACACAGACATACGAATGATCCCACAGCTTACAATGAATTTTGGCACATTCATTTATCCATCCATCCCCATGGATTAAAAAAAAGAAGGAAAAACTGAACTCCTTTTGCTCATAATATTGAACAAAAAGCAGCATATTCCAATTAAAATAAAGTAAATTAGTTACAAACCAGACACTTAACAGGGATCCAAATCAATAAGATGGCAAATCATTAAAATAAAATTGTGTAATTGTGTACCCACTGCTCCAAGTTTGACATCACATGGCTTTATTCCCAGAAGGATAAAAAAAACTTTCCCTCACACAAGTTCGACAACACGGATTTATTTCAAGGGAGCACGTTTTTCGGCATTAAATGCCTATATCTTGGAATGACTACAGATATATGCATTCATTGAGCCTGTAGTCCCGTCTGAAATGACAAAAACTCGATTGGGTAACTTTAGGAACTACTTAGCCCAATGGAAATTTAAATTTGAAATTATCCTTGACCAGCCACTTTGTATAGCCTTTTCGGCCCTAAAGACACATTTGCGGCTTCGACGTAACATTTCAAGGGTCGGTCATTAAATACCACTTAATCTCCTCACCTGATACAAGGTGAATGGAGGGATTTTCCTTGAAAATCAATGTTGCCGACTTTCTTACGTTCAATTTCAGGCAGCAGGACACTCAGCTGACTGAAAAGTGCTGTCTTTTCATGTGACAATACTGACGCGTGTCATTAACCTTTAGCCCCCCGATGACCATCCAGGTCAGATATACAGCTCTCTCTTCGACTCCTACACCTTCACAATATTCAAATATTTTGTGCTCGACCAAGTGAGTCCATTACTGCCGAATGGACCATACCAGAATGCCTTCGGTGATGCAACACCAACGGGAAATTGGCTCATAAATGGCACTCTTTCCTTTATTAGAATCAGCACGTGAGGTGCTGGAGTGATGACACGTGGCAAAGAGCCAAATGCCAAACATTCTCAGACTTCGGTTGCTGGATTTAAGCGCCTTGCATATCTTCTATTGGGGGTACAAATAAGTTTTGAGGGATTTACAAAAGATGGCGTAACTAGCATTAAATCGCATCGGACCATCTTGTAACTATATTCATGTTGAAGCGTCATCATTTCCCGCTAAAAATCAGTATGTGTCATGTCGCTGAAGTGTAAACAACATACTTTCTTTGTGCTCTAACCATGTCAACCTTTGTGCCAACAAAACACAATTTGCGGGAAGCGCTGCTTTTTTGTTTTAATTTGAAGAAAAGTGCAGC